GTCTGCGCTGCCTCAGATAGAAACAACAATTAGAGAACGAGAAGACAGACAAAAATTCCTCTCACTAGTCGAAAATAAGTTTACTTCTTCGAATGAAAATTTGTTTCGATTCAAATCAACAGCATTTCCACACAACATAAAATGCACTCACCAGGTCTTAATAAAGCCGGATCAAGAATGTCGATTCGATTTGTTGCCATTATAACTTTGATATTTTTCGTTGCCTCAAAACCATCCAACTGATTCAGCAATTCCAACATCGTTCGTTGTACTTCCGAATCACCTCAAATCCATCAATAAAATAGGTGTGACAGAACGAAATGAAGCGAAGTGCGATGAATCACGTTCAAAATGATCATTTCTGATGAAATTGTTGTTGATCGATCGAACAAGCTCGGAAACTGACCACCGCTGCTGCCTTCGACACGAGATGAACCGATCGAATCGATTTCATCCATGAAAATGATCGACGGCGCATGTTCGCGAGCCATCACGAACAACTCGCGCACCATTCTCGCACCTTCACCAATGAATTTCTGCACCAGTTCCGAACCAGATACGCGAATGAATGTGCACTCTGTATGATGTGCTACTGCTCTTGCCAATAGTGTCTTTCCGGTTCCCGGTGGTCCATACAATAGAACACCCTGAAAACGAATAGTAAAATAATGAAGTAAGGATGTCGTAATACAAGTTCACCAGACGCGTTTACTTTCCAAACAGCCTCTCTGAATCCAACTTAAGCAAATCTTAGCAGATGAAACGACACAAGCGGAAAACGATTGAGCCGGTGAACCCATAGCAAAGAAAAGAATAACCTTGGGTTGGGCAATGCCGAGTGCTTCGAACAATTCCGGATGCTTGACGGGCAATTCGATGACTTCTTTGATCTCTTTGATCTGTTTGTCAAGGCCACCGATCATCTCGTATGTTGAATCAGGTACTTTTTCTACCATCATCAGTGATACCAGCGGATCAACCTTACAATTTAGCCGTTATATACAGTCACAATTCCATTCAACAATGCTGATTGAAAATTCTTCTTCACTACAATAACCAATTGTGGGATAAACGTAAACACCTTGGGTTGAACAATAACACCTCAAGGCACCTTTATGTATCCCATTTGAAAGTATTTTATCGGGTCGTTGAATGCGACATGTTCACAATTTTATTCGCAATTGGAACATGCGCATAATACCCTTTCAGCTATCCTCAAATAATTTCTAGCGAATAATTCACTATCACAGATACAGTTTGCAATGAGAAGAAGAAATCTTCATAACAATTGGAAAATTAGTTTCAACCTTGAAAAATATGATCAACTCGGAGTTTTGTATTTTTTAAATTCATTCATTTCTTTTCATATTTGAGATTTCTTGTTTGAGACCTATAAGAAAGATTTTCCGCATAAAAACATTTTTTTTGAGACTTTGTCAAAGTCTCAACTAATGTTTTTGTGTGAACAATTTTTCTTGTAGTTTTTTAAATTCAATCATCGGTATTTTTGAAAATCACCTTGTTTGGAAGTATT